ATCTACTCGTTGCTGGAGCAGCAGCGCAGAGACCGCTTCCTCAAGAAGATCTGTGCTGAAACTCAAAAGCTCTACGAAGCATCAACGTACAGAAGCTGGGGGAAACAGTTCCTCCAGAACCACCAGACCACTAATACCATTGCTGTCCTGACCGGAGCTATAGTGGTGGGGGCACACCAGGACACAGAGTCCATGGGCTGGAAACAGGTCTCTGTCAACTACATGGAGAAGACGATGTTTCTGTTGAGTCATGTAGTAGACGGCTCTCTGGACGAGGGAGTGGCGTATGGGAGTTACACAGCAAAGTCCATCACGCAGTACGTTTTCTTAGCACAGCGCCACTTCAGCATAGACCACACGCAGAATAACTGGCTGCGCAACCACTTCTGGTTTTATTACGCCACTCTGCTTCCAGGGTTCCAGAGAACCGTCGGTATAGGGGACTCCAACTATAACTGGTTCTACGGGCCAGAGAGTCAGCTAGTCTTTTTAGATTCTTTTGTGATCAAAAACGGGTCAGGGAACTGGCTAGCGCAGCAGATTAGGAAGCACCGGCCTAGAGATGGCCCCATGGGTCAGTCCTTCGCCCAGCGCTGGACAACCCTGCACACAGAGTTCATCTGGTATAACGCCAGCCTCGCTCCGCTGGCCCCGTACGGCTACAGCAGGGCCAGAATGCACATATTCTCAAACTGGGGCGTGGTGACATATGGGGCGGGGCTACCTGTTGCCCAGGGCAACACCTTTGTCTCATTTAAATCCGGCAAGCTGGGCGGCCGGGCAGTGTTTGACATTGTTCATGCGAAGCCTTACTCGTGGGTGGACGGCTGGAACAGCTTTAACCCTGGTCACGAGCACCCAGACCAAAACTCTTTCACTTTTGCCCCTAATGGGCAGGTGTTTGTGTCTGAGGCTCTGTATGGCCCCAAGTTCAGCTACTTAAACAATGTGTTGATGTTCAGCTCTTCCCCAACCAGCCGGTGCAATGCACCCTGGGAAGGCCAACTTGGAGAGTGTGCTAAGTGGCTGCGCTGGACAGAGAGTGGCGTGGGCGACTCTGCCGGAGAGCTGATCTCGGCTTCTGCCCACGGGGAGGCGCTGTTCGTGAGCGGGGAGGCGGCTACTGCGTACTCCTCCGCTCTGGGGCTGAAGAGCGTATACCGCGCCCTGGTGCTCCTCAACTCGCAGACCCTGCTGGTGGTGGACCATGTAGAGAAAACAGAGCACTCGCCAGTTAACACGCTCAGCGCTTTCTTCCACAATCTGGATATTGACTTTAAATACGTGCCGCACAGGTTCGCAGACAGGTACAATGGGGCTCTGATGGACGTGTGGGACGCTCATTATAAAATGTTCTGGTTGGACAGTCGGGGCCACAGTCCAGAAACACAGATTCAGGAGGCAGAGCAGGAGGCCGAGTTTAAGAAGCGCTGGACGCAGTTCATCAACGTCACCTTCCCCTTCACACACTCTGTGTCTAGGATGGTGTACGTGATGCAGGGGCCGTACGTTAAAGTGTCCGACTGCAAGTTCCTCGAGAGCAGTAAAGACGGCCTCAGAGTTTCTCTCGTAATCAACAATACTGAGAAAATAGTTTCAATAGTGACTAATCACAGAGACATCGGGGCGCGCTTCAGCTTTCTGGGGTTCGGGGGTTTTGCTAAAGTGGAGGACAGAGGACAGGTGGTGCGCTTCGGCCTGGGGGCGCAGCAGGTCTCCACACACTTACACACACACAATCATCTGTTTGACTTTGGGGTCACAGTGAATGTCGCAGCTGGAGCAATACTGTGTATAGCCATTGTGTTTCTGACCCTGCAGCGCAAGTGTTATGTTTGCTTCAGCAGACTGATGCGTTACGCTTTGCTCTCAGTCTTAATGCTGTGGATAACCGAGCTCCTGTTGGTGTCTAGCAGCTGCGATCAGCTTCTGTGCAGGGTAAAGTGGCACGGAGCGGGCACAGACCCGGAGCTTCGCCAGCAGGTGCCCACCCAGCAGCAGCAGCTCCTTCTGCCCACGGTGGTCATCACCACACTGCCCGGCTCCGGCTCCGACATCCTCAAACACCTCTTTTACAACAACTCAGACTTTGTGTACTTGCGCATCCCCACAGAGCACCTGGACATCCCCGAGACAGAGTTTGAGTTTGACTCTTTAGTGGACGCCTGTGAGTGGACGCGGGCAGATGCCCAGTGTGGGCGCTTTAAGATGGTCCAGGGCTGGCTGCAGTCGCTGGTCCACAACACACACCTGTTCCTGCAGAGTGTCCCGCTGCGGGCGGGGGGGCGGCCGGACGGGGATGTGGAGTATGTGCGTGAGCTGCGGAGACACACAGTGGACTACCCCAACGCCCGTGCGGTACTGAATCTGTGCAGTGGCTCCTGGGCACTAAAGCTGCCCTTCCTGCAGGAAGCCATCGGCCCGTCTCTGAGGGCCATCTATGTAGTCCGGGACCCGCGGGCCTGGGTTTACCTAATGCTGTATAACAGCCGGCCCAGCCTTTACTCGCTCAAGAACATTCCGCAGCACCTGTCCCTCATCTTCAGGCAGGACGGCGCCAGTGAACGGTGTCCAAGCGCCTTTGCTCCAGAGTTCGAGCCGCTGTGGCAGCTGGTCTCACGCTCTGAGAACAGTGCTGTCCTTCTGCTGGCGCACCTGTGGCGGGCTCACACCGCTGCCGTGCTCAGAGTCTCCGCTGGATTACCTGAGGACGCCTACCTGCAGCTCCGGTTCGAGGATGTGGTCCGTCAGCCTCTGGAAACTGCAGAGCAAATTCACTCGTTCCTGGGAGTGCCCGTCTCTCCGGCGGCCCTGAATCAGCTGATGTTCAGCACCTCCACAAACCTGTACAGCCTGCAGTACGAGGGGCAGGTTTCTGCCTCCAGCATGGACCGGTGGAGGCGCCGCATGCCCCGGCGGGACGTCCGCCTGATCGAGCACACCTGCGGGACCCTGATGAGGACGCTGGGCTACCGCAGGCTCAGCCACGGCTAGCTGTGCTATTGTTGTTGTATTTTTGCACAAATCTGAGTGGGAACAGGCACCAGAGCTGAATGTTAGTGTGTGATTCTGCTTCATGTCTACCACAATGCCTTCAGGATGGGTGTGTATGCAGTTGAAGATGAAATGATTATCCCTCCTGTCAAAATTATTATGCTTCAAATATTTTACAAGGTGTTTTCTCTCACAGATTTCGGCGGCAGGAAGTCTTTGATTTGAGTTTGGCTGCAATAAAAAGTTTATATTTTTAAGCTCAATGGGATGATTAGACCCTTTAGACCAGGTGTGGCCAACCCTGCTCCTGGAGATCCACCTTCCTGCAGATTTCAGTTGCAACCTATATCAAACACACCTGCCTGTCATTATCAAGAGCTGTTCAGTTCCTCATTAACTGGTTCAGGTGTGTTAGATCAGGGTTGGAGCTGAACTTTGCAGAAAGAAAGGTCGATCTCCGGGAGCAGGGTTGAGCACGCCTGGTCTAAAGGGTCCAATCATCCCATAACATAAGAGTTATTAGTGAAGAGTTATCAGAGCTGTGTTTGTGAATGTGCTGAGGAAATATTGTGTGAAATTGAGTTCTCTTCACAGGAGGGCTGGAGATTTTGTCTTCAATTGCATGTATGTATATATATATTACACACACACACACACACACACACACACACATATATATATATATATATATATATAGTTTAAAGGTAGATTTACACAACACCATTTTCAACCAAAAGTATGTATGCATTTCTTCTGTTAATTTACTCTTGTGTATTTGGTGTATCTATCTGACCTGTCGCATTAATTAAATGACTGTCTAATTAGTCGTTTGCTTTAACTGTGACTGTTGCAGTACCTTTAGCAGGCACAAGGGGGAGACACACTGACAGACAGACACTAGAGCATGCAGACACTTGTACATTAAACAGAATCTCATTAATCAACAATCAAATCTGCTAAAGACTCAGTTAATCACCATCACCGTTATTTAATTAACAAAGTACAAATGAGCGCCATGATGATGCAGATGAGCTGTTTCTGTAGGCCAGAGCAGCCCTGCAGGAGTGAGGAGTGTTTCTGCACAGCGCCACCTGCTGACACACGCACACACAGCAGGATGTTGTGTTGTTGTATTCATGGGTTAGAGTGGATATTGATGGATTTAACACAGTTTCAAATGATTTTTCACTCAAACATGCTCAGAAATAAACACACACCTGCCTGCAGTGTCTGTTGTGCTGTGCTGTAGACAGAGAGACGGACGATTCAGTGTGTGTGTGTGTGTGTGTGTGTGTGTGTGTGTGTGTGTGTGTGTGTGTGTGTGTGTGTGTGTGTGTGTGTGTGTGTGTGTGTGTTTTATGTTCTGGTTGCCAGATCAGCGCCCTGACTCCTCTGTGTGTGTTCAGCGGACGCTCTGCTTGTGTTGAGGGTTGTGTTTGGGTCTCGGTGGTCTTCTATCTCTCGGACACAATAAAGATGCTCCTTATCTTCTGACCTGTGATCAGATGCAGAGGTGTGTGTGTTTATCTGCTGTGAAGGCATCACCTCACACATTTACAAACTTGATATTTTAAGTTATACAAACTGATTTAAATCAGTCGCTTTCAAAACAGAAATTCAAGAATTACACACACACACACACACACACACACCTACTGAGAAAAGAAGACTTCACATGTATGAATAACACACACACACACACACACACACACACACTCTCCTACTGAGAAAAGAAGACTTCACATGTATGAATAACACACACACACACACACTTATGGTTTGTCTGCTTTTAGAGGATCAGGGCTGGTCAGCAGAACACACTGATGCTGGAACACACACTCCTGCTGTAGTTTCAGTGGAGTGTGTGTGTGTGTGTGTGTGAAGGAAATCTAGTCTGACTGTACAGGAATGCATGCATAGAAGTGTGTGTGTGTGTGTGTCTCTCTGTAACTTCATTAGTGTAACAGGACGCACATGCTTCAGTCTCTGGATCAGATGCTTCATAACGTGATGCCAAACCTCCGTCCACACACAGCAGTCTACATGTGCAGCGGACA